GAAAAAAGGAAAAAATTATTTTGCAAAAATAAATTTGAAATCCACGCATAGACTTTTATAATATTTATTTCCCATGAACTTTTTGAAGAGCCTATGTGTGATTTTTTTCAGTATACTAATAATTTTTATATGTTGTATAAACCAGCTTTTAGGATAAACCCCATGTGATCATAAAGTAATACTTACCTTACATATTATTGAAATTGATTTGCTAAGGTTTCAAAAGGTTTTTATATTTATGGTTAGTAAAAACCATTTTTTGAAAAGGTGTACAGTTGGGACCAGCAGTTAGCGTAATGGCTATGTTGCTGGACTCCCACGTAGTCGACTACAGTTCATGTCCCGGACCCAGTGGCTTAAACTCATGCCGGGCGCGTGTGTGTGCATGCCCAAGATCCCGAGAGGAGAATGGAGAAGGGATTGCGGCGTGGCCATCCCTCCTGGGGGGTGATTTCTCACTTTCTGTCTCTCTGGCTCTCTCTGTCTGTTTGGCGAGCACACGCGCCCTATAGAAAACCCTCTCCAAACAAAAAAAAAAAAAAAGAAAAGAAAAGAAAAGGTGTACAGTCACAAATGTAAGAGAATGGGAGAGGAGATGCACCATGCAAGTGATAGCAGTCATTTTTACAAAGAGGCATCACAGCCGATTTAGCAGATAGAAGGCTGAAAAACATAAGCGTGGTGTGTGTGTTAGGGCAGAGCCAGGGAACAAACTAATTGATAAATTGGATGCCAAAGACTCAGGCAGGCTTCAGAAAGGAATTGAAAGTGCCAGGTATCTGAAGATTAAGGGTGCTACACATATGAAAACTGCTTTCAAAATCTTCATACGGAATAATTAGCTCCCTGGCCTGCCTTGCACCAATCTCACCTCTTTTGTCAGAAAATTGAAGGCTGACTCTCTTAAAAAAAAAAAAGCGAATAAGGTATGACTTGGATTCAGGAGCTTCACACACAGCTAAAATTTGGGAATGATGCTCTATTCTACAAACAGAGCCGTATGATTAAACAGAGACTCTTACCAGCCACTTCCTTTCTCAGTTTCTAACTACTAAAAGATGAATCCATACTCCCCAGAAGGGAGGCTAGCAGATTCCTCTCTTGAAAAACTAACCAGTCCAGAAGAGACCATCTTTAGAAACAAAACTGTGGAGGTCCCCAACACAACATTCAGAGGCCTACAATCCTGATTGTAGTTAACCAGTGTACAGCTTGCTTATGACTCACTCACAGGTTTTATTTTGTTTTGTTTTCCAATTAGCATTTTTAGTATCTCTTTTGTAAAGATGACTGTACAATAAAAGATCACCAGATACTGTTGAAACACCTCTTATATGAAGGCAGAAGCCAAAACAAAGAAACAGAAAAATATAACATGGAAGAAAAAGATAATTCAGAGAGGAAAAAAATATCAAAACTATTTCTCTGATTTCCACAGGAAAAGGAGGAAATGGCATCCTTGAAACAAGAATAGGAAGCTATTAAACAAGATCTTTCAGAGACCTAAGCAGAAATAGCTGTATGATGAAAATATAAGAACTGTTACTTGAAAATTAATAATTTGGGGGTATGACAGCAGAGCATTAAACCTAGCACAGGGCCCTTCTGAGCACAGGGAAGTCACACAGGTTACATACCTGGGATACTGACCCTGGGAATAGAAAGCTCTTAGAATGGAATATGTGACAGACTAAATAAGAAAATAGAAAGGTTGGGGAATAAAGTCAGACAGTCAACTGGAAAGTTGAACAAGAAGAAGGAAAATATGTGAGAAAAATAGAAGATAACTGACGAGATTAACAATGTGAGTTCCAAACCGAGAACAGAAAAATGGAGGGAGGGAAGGAAACAATCCTAGAAGTAATACCAGGCACGTTCCCAGAACTGAAGGACAGGAGTTTGTAGACTCAAAAGGCCAACGCCAAGGTCCTTAGCACGGACAGTTGAATTACCAGGGATAAAGGTAATTTCCCAAAAGCTTTCCGATAGAGAAAAACAAAATGAAGCAAAAAGCCATTACATACAAAGGGATGGAAATCAGAGTGGCAGCTAAACCATAACGTGAATTTAGTCAGAAATTATTCAATAACCCTGTTGAGAGGCTAAAGAGGAAGGAAAGAGGTAAACAGGCTCCTTCCTCCTCCACCATAATAAGTCAGTGGATGGTCTACATCTGTGAACATTTTGGAAGTGGCAAGAGGGTTGTATAATTTAGAACTTTGGAGGTTAAAAAATATTGAGGGGGAAAAGAGACTTAACTTCAGCTAAAATAGAGGCCCTTTAGTGTCAGGAATCATGGTTTTGGGAAAGAAAGGACTATTTTTCAATATAAACTTGGTAAAACTAGTATGTTTGTAACTCCTTGTGTTAATAATTGAACAGTTACCAGTTGAATTAGAAAGTAGAGAAGGATTTGCCCGAGGTTTGCGTGGGACTCTAGCAGATGTGACACTAATGATTCTTCCCTCTCCAGATTCCCGGTACATTCTCCTGCCTGTCGTGTTACATCACCTCCACATCCACTTGCAAGAACAGAAGGACTTGATCATGTGTGCGCGTATCCTTAGCAACGTATTTTGTCTCATCAAGAAAAATAGCTCAGTAAGTAAATACAGGTCATTGTATGTTGTTCTCATCAAACAGCTTCTGGAAATAAAATCTTAAATGTCTACAAAGAAACCACACTTTTAGGAACATTCTGAGACTCACTTTCCTCTCTAGCTGGGCTGGACTTTTTACTTATCCTCTTAGAAGGAATTATTTTTTAACCTGTAGGGTTGCTATAACCCCGAGTAACCTGGGTTCCCTAAACTTTATTTCAAGAAAGAACTGAATACTGAGAAAAATTGGAAATGTAAAGCCTCCCACATGTGTCTTTAATCTTGATATAATGAATGCTCCGTGTCAAGAATAAATCACTGTATGCAAAGTGAAGTCGTTTTTGGCCCATTCGACAGGCTGCATGATGATCACAACTTGGCCATAGTCCTTGGGCTGGTCCTATGAAGATTGTGGAAGCAAAGGGCAGCTCTAGCTGCCCTTTCAGTATAGCCATTACTTGACCCCAAAGGTGCTCTCTAAATCGTTATGGCTTTGAGGATTCCTATCCCAGTGCCTAACTCTTTATGCAATGCAGTGGCATTAGAAAGTGCAGTGCAGAGTGAGAAAAATCACATGCTTGCTGATAAATGGGGTAACTGAAAGTACTTGTGTTTGTGGCTCATGGATCTGCTGTGAAATCCACATATGAAGGCTGCCCTGTTGCAGTTCTGACATTCTGCAGCTGTTAATTATTGTGCTTATTGGTAACAGGTTTTACGAAGCAGTTTAGCAGTGGGTGCTGAGACTCCTCTTTCTCTGCTGCCCTCTTCCCTCTATGCTCCAGTTTCCTCATTTTTGTCAGGCCTACCTAGGGTCCACTTCTGAAGACCAGTGAGCTGGGATGGGACCCCAGGGGAGGTGGTAGAGAGAATGCATCAGTAATGTGGGGACATGGTTGGCATTTGAGAGAAAATGGCTAGAAGCTCTGCAATAAAAGAAGGACCTACACAGAAAGGGGCAATTCACTTTTACCCATGCCCATGATCCAGGCCCCAAATGTGATCTGTGTTTTATAGAACAGTGGTGACAGAGAGAGGCATTAATTCTTCTTTAAAACTTCCTCTATACAATTAAAAAAAAAAAAAGTCATGCCTTTCCTAATTAAAAGGTTCTTCCAAATTATACTGGAGAATAAAAGGTAAGCCATTTCACTCACTGTAGAAAATCAAAACCAGTATCAGCCAAAGTGGAGATGATTTCTCTGGATCTCTCAGTTTGGAGGTTGTAGTCAGTTTTGGACTAAGCTAGTAGGGAATTTAGAGCAGAAACCAATTCACTGGGGTATAAATCTTGTTGGAATTACCCCCCCCCAAGCATGAGATAGCTCATTATAAAATCCTAGCCCAAAGGCTCTTTCATCTCACTTCCTAACAGTATTCTTTGCAAAGAGTGATCTTCTTGATAGGGAACATTTGTATATAGAGCTTTTCTTCATTGGTATAAGAACAACCCAGATCCACTACTATAGTCAGTGCAAAGCAATGTGGGTTTCCCTCTTGAATCCTAGGAGCTTGGATAGTATTAACTTTGTTTTAGGAAAGGATTCTTTACCATAAGGCCACTGACTTTAGTTCTACTCTGTAACTAAGAGTATTCACCTAGATTGAATGTCATTTTTAAATATTTGCATGTAGAGATTTTTAAAAATCATTGTTATAGGAATAATCACTTTCTTTCAAGTTTCATTTATTCCATGGATAAAAAGACAAAGAGACAGCACCTCGGCAGCCTCAATCAGTTTGACTCATGAGCACCCCGGAACCCAGCTCACCCAGGGAAGTCTCTGGACATTAATCAGCAACCTTCCTCTGTGGGTCCGCCTCACAAAGCAGTGTATTTTACCACTGTGCCACCTTCTGGCCTCAGGAATAGTTGTTTGCACTTAAAATAGGGTTTTGGAAAGTGACCTATGTAACTTCAGTGGTGGGAAGAGTAATTGTAAATACAACCTGGAACCAATAAAGTATAGTTTTTAAAAACTAAGATGTACTTTTGGTGCAGAATAAGCCCAAGAGAGCAAACTTATTTGCCCCAGGTCCCATGTCCTGCTAGAGGCAGAGCTGGTGTCCTGAATTCATCTGGTATTCCTGGCTTTTTATTTGTACCTGAAGTGTCTATTATACAGCCAAGTTGTGTACTCCTGAGTAAACCCTTAACTTCTCTATGTCTTTGTTGTTTTTGTTTTTAAAGATGGTCATTGACTTAAGTGAGGTTTAGGTGTCTCAAGTTCTTGAATTCTCTGACTTTTTGATTCCATAAAATATTTGGAAATGGACTTTTCACCTTTTCCATTAAAGAAAGACTAATACACATATTAAGTCACAATTTCCAGAACACATTATTTTTTTCTCTGAAGGAAAAATCTGTGTTGGAGGAAATAGACGTGATAGTGGCCAGCCTTCTGGACATCCTGCTGAGAACCATATTGGAGATCACCAGCCGACCCCAGCCATCCAGCTCAGCAATGCGGCTCCAATTCCAGGATGTCACTGTAAGATCGTAAAGCAAATGGCACAGGGAGCAGGGCCTTGCCATACTTGTCAAAGCCTCAGTCACTTTGAGAGGGTGGGTTGTAGGAACCTGGGGAATCTGGCCTTGGGAGAGTAACTTGTGAGGATTTCAAAGAGGTCTAGTTACTTTCTTTTCTTCTTCTTCTTTTTTCTTTTTTGTTTTTTAATTTGCCATAGGGTATATGTATTCACCAGAGAGAGACAGAGAGAGGGAAAGTGAGGAAGCCCTCACCCATAAGAGGAATGGCCATGCCGTAGTCCCCTGTTCTCCTCCTGAGATTTTGGACACACATGCACACTCTCTCAGCATGTTTTTCAGCCATCTCATCTGGGACTGGAAGCATGCAGTCGGCCATGTGGGATCCAGCCACCTTAAACACCACCCACCAGCTGACTCCTAGGTCACCTTCATTTTGCTAGGAAACTAGGATATAAACCATGTTTGTTAAAAGATATTGGAATAAGCAATTGTAAATTTCGAAAAGCCACTTTCGATGGCCACTCTCACTTAGCCCAAGTGAAATGAATCCATTATTTTATATTGTTATTCAACTTGGTAACTTTTTATTCTTTGTTTATCCATTAGATTACTTGAAGAAGTGAGAATAATGAAATAGAGCAGTGAGACTCAGGTGCCCTGAGTTCTATTTCTGGATTTTTCAGCATGACTGATAAGGCTCTTAACTTATTAGGCCTCACTTTCCAACTATTAAATAAGAAGGTTTGACCTGGTAAATTCTAAGGTGCCTTTAAGTGCCACTCTTCTGAGTCTTCTATAACATGATTCATATAAAATATGAAAAAATGATGTATCTGGATTTTATTTATTTATTTTTTTTTTGGAGAGGTTTTTGGATAGGGTGTGTGTGCTCACCAGAAGAACAGAGACAGAATGTGAGAAATCACCCCCCAGGAGGGATGGCCATACCACAATCTCTTTTCCTCCATTCTTCTCTTGAGATCTTGGGGATGCACACACATGCGCCCAACATGTGTTTAAGCCACCAGGTCTGGGACTCGAACCGGAGTTGGCTACATGGGAGTCTAGCGACATAGCCATTATGCCAACTGCTGGTTCCTCTGGGATTTTGTATTTAGGAAGAAACTTTAAAAGTTTATGGAAAAAGGAAATTAAACCAAATTAAACCAAAATTAAATTTTGGTTTACAAAATTTGAAATCCATACATACTTTTCTTAATAATGTACATTTTCCATGAACTTTCTGAAGAACCCTAATATACATATATTTGTTAATATTCACTGACACACTCACATTCACAAACACATTTCTGTTTAAAACTCAAATTCATTTGACCAAAGAGAATTTTTCTAAGAGTTTATTGATTTATCTTCATGAAAGAGACAGAGAGACAGAAACCTTCAACAAGGTCCTGCAACACAATCTGCCCTCAGCCCCTGCCAGCTGGACCACGGGCACAAGGAGGCCTTGTGCCTGCCCCTCATGTGGGTCCATCATTGCAGGGCATTGTATTATGCTTACATCACTGCCTGGCCAAAATACATACACACACACACACACACACACACTTTTTATTTTTCTAAGTGAGGTTTTTGCTATAGGGCATGTGTACTTGCCAGAGAGACAGAAAGTGAGAAATAACCTCCCAGAGGGATGACCTCTTCTCCAGTCTCTTCTTGGGATTTTGGGCGTGCACACACACACACACACTGTGTGAGTTTCAAGCCTCAGGGTCCAGGACTTGAACTGTGGTCAGCCATGTGCAAGTCCAACAACGTAACTATTATGCCATCTGCTGGTCCCCCAAAAATGTTTTTTAAGTCTTACTAATAATATTCTTTTAAGCATATGATTATCATTTCTAGAAATAGCAATAGATACTATAATTTTCCCATATATTGTAGATTATGCTCCAAAATATCTACCTTCACCATCATTTTTACTAGTAGTGAATTATGGAACAGCTGTCGTAATAATGCTTGCCTAACCCCTGAAAAAAATAAAGTTTATTTTTACTTAAAAATATTAGAAGTCATTAGCAGTTCACACTGGTTTTCCTGCCAAGATTGACTTTTTCAATATAACCATCTTGTTTTGATTTTTTTTTTTTCTTTCAGAGCTGTGATTTACCCAAGGGAACTGAGTTCTATGTTTGGGAAGTAAAGTTAAACTCTTATAACAAACTGAGGTTAAAAACAGTATGAAAAACCTTTGTAGTGTATGTATTAAGTCATCGGGAAAGTCATGCTGTATTTTTCTATGCAAAAAATGCATCATGAGTTTCCCGACAACCCAATCATAGCAGAACTAACTCATTTAAAGAAGAGTAAACAATTAATGTCACAGTGGTTGGTCTGATAGAATTTCACTTGTAAAATGGCACCTACTTTTTAGGATTTGTTTCATAAACTTAGCACACTACTTGGCTCATAATAAACACATTATCATTATTGCTTAATGCCCTTGGAGTTCACTGTGGGTTTGAAGGTTTGAGAGTTTTTGTTTTAAATTTTTTTCATTAAATTTTATTTGGTGATAAGTGTAGAGCAAGCAGTTAAAGTTGTCAGAAATAATATAGAGATATTTCATGTCCCTTTTTCCCAGTTACGCAGGGCCATGCACAACTTGGGTGCAATATCACAACCAGGATATTGACATTAGTACAATCAGATGCAGGATGTTTCTATCACCTCAAGGATCCCCGTGTTACCCTTTAATATACAAACCCACTTCCCTTCACCTCCACATCCTCGTTAAACTGGCAACCATAGCTCTGTTCTCCATTTCTAGAATTTTGTAATTTCGAGAATGTTATATAAATGAGTTTGTATGGTATGTGACTTCTTATGATTCATCTTATTTTTACTCAGCACAGTTTTCTGTGATGACTTCATCAGTTCTGGAAAAGTATTTAAGCAATATCTGGTATAATACTCAATAAATTTTAGCTGTTAGTAAGTATGGTAGCAGCAGGAGTCACAGTAATATCATTCCTGTAGCAAAAGTGTGTCGTTATAACTAATTCTATGGTTAAAAAAATAGATGTATGTGTGTATGTATATATATATATATATACATACACACATACACACACTCTCTCTCTCTGGGGGCCAGAGGTGGTATAGTAGTTGGGGTGCTAATGTGGCTGACCGCAGTTCAAACCCTGGACCTGGTGGCTTGAAATTCACACCAGACAAATGTACATATATGTCCAAAGTCCCAGAAGGAGAAGGAGTATGGCGTGTCAGCCTCCCTTGAAGGGTGATTTCTCACTTTCACCTCTTACTGTCTCTTTTCCTCTCTCTTTCTAGAGCACATGTGCCCTATGGCAAAAACTTAAAGGTAAATAAATAAAGTACAAATGTATTTAAAAGAAAGAAAAAAAGAAAGAAAGAAAGATGCTTTGATCATTTAAAAAGTCAATTCTTTCTAAGCACTGAAAATCTAATTTCTTCATCTTTTCTTTTTTTTAAATTTGCTATAGAGCATGTTAGCTCACCAAGGAAAGAGAGAAGGAAAACAAAAGGGCGAGAGAAGTAATAGCCCCAGAGGAGATGGCATTGCCACAATCCCTTTTTCTCCATTCTCCTCTCGGATACATGCACACACCTGGCATGTTTCTTAAGCCACTGAGTCTGAGACTCAAACCAGCCAGTCAGCCATGTAGAATTCAGGCTCCTGGACCGTTGCCACTGGCTGGCCCTCTTCATCATCAGAGCAGCTTTTTGAATATGGAGCCTTTCCATGACTGTTCCCCATCAAGCACCTTTTCTGTCTTTGCAGACACATATATGTTCCTTGATACACGTATGCATCAGGTGGCAATGATAAGGTGGGCACAGTCTGTGTAGAAGCAGTTCACGTAAGCATGTCCTGATCAGTCTTCCCAGGGCTCTGTAATACCATCAGAATTCCAGATAACAGTAGCCTTGTTTTTGTAATTTAATAGGATTGTACTTTTTATTCTTCTACTAACTTGTTCTTTAAACTTAAGAGTGTTCACTCTAGTTGGCAAAAAAGATATGCCATTATAATTGATTCTTTTCAAAATTCAAATTGTTCATGAAAGCAGATTTGATAAAACAGGAAAAATGGTCATTGGCCTTACACCCTCAACTAATTGGACTCCAGAGTTCCTGAAAATTTATGAATGCTTCTTTGCACACACTTCTGTTAAGCACACTTATGTGCAGGTAACTGAGCTCAGCGTAGGTCTCATCAACAGCAGATACTATGGTGCAGTTATCCATTCTTGCACAGTTGGCTTGTGGTGGGGGGATGAAAAAGGGTGCAGGAGAATTCTGTAAGAACTATCTGGGGAAAAAACACACGTATTCAATGGAATGTTTATTGAAGACTTTTATGATCATCTAATATTCTTAGAGTTGTTAGACGTGACTGTTGTACTCAATCTATACATAAAATAGATGTAAGCTGCTGAAAACTGCAGAGGCAATTTGTCTATGAGAAATTCTCACACTAAAACTTTTGGCCAGTGATTTTTTTCTTATTTATTTTAAAAAATAAATTGTGAGTCTAGGGTTTTTATACACAAATATTCTACCAGCTATATTTACATTTTTAGATTTAAATATAATAATAGGTTGAAAATATGGGCATTGATTATCAACTGACAAATTCTTTTTTTTGAGGTTTTTTTTTTTTTTTTAGGGCATGTGCACTTGTCAGAAAGACAGAGAGAGACAGAGAGACAGAAAGTGAAAAATCACCCCCCAGTGAAGATGGCCATGCTGCAATCCCTTCTCCTCCATTCTCCTCTTGGAATCTTGGGCACACACGCACTCTCACCCGGCATGAGTTGAAGCCACCGGGTCCGGGACTCGAACCATGGTCGACTACATGGGTGTCCAGCAACATAGCCATTACACCAACTGCTGAAACCTTAACTGACAGATTCTTACATGCTAATTTATATGTGAATTATAATCCCAAAACTCAGATATATTTCCTCTGTAAAACCAAGTCTGAACAGTAAGTAA